AAAAATACATTAAATCTCGGAAAAAAACCTGTTCGAACAGTTTTTTTTCCGAGACTTAATGTATTTTTGAATACTCCGAATTTCCTTAGAAATGATTCTGGAATTCTTTTAACAAATGCATTTTGTAGAGTAAACATTTTTCTACAAAATTAGATGTTTTACAGCTCTGAGAGAATTGTGATAACTGATTTATAGCAATTCTCCCATATGTCCCAACACCAGTTAAAAACTGGTGCATGCCTACATATAAGAAGACAAAAATGTTTTTAAAATTCATTAATTTTAACAGTATGTTGGCTACAAGGATGTTTTCAACTGTAATGAATATTTCAAGAAGAGAATATACATCATATGCTTTGTCGATCACATGAAATGCACATACAATTTTTAAAAAGATTCTACTCTTTACTAACTAAGCTATTTTCAGCACTTTCATATTCTCTCATCACTACGCACGTTTATAATGAGAAGATGTCTTAACGACGGGAATAGAAAATTTTTCTAAGCGATACAATGAAACATAATCTTTGTAAAGTTTTTATCTATACTTTTTTTCCTAGTTTTTATTCATATAAATAGTTTAACTAATTATAGTTGTGCTACAAAACCTGAATACTTGAGTTTAATACTTTATTAAAAGGCCTCTTTGAAAACTGCATCGATAAACAAGCGACTTTTATCAAATTCTCGTTTCTCGGAATATGCAGCAGATGATTTGACGTCGTTCTCACTCAATCTCTGTAAAATGATTGTTAAGTTTAAATTATATACAAACAACACCAATATTTCTTTTACTAGCAAAGTATGGCTCGTAGAAATTGGATCCTTAAAGAAATTTACGTTTGTTCTGTTAACGAGGCCCTTTCAGTAGAACAATAGGTAAAAAGAAAAAGAGATGTACTACTCGTATGTGTATTTGAACAACTAACTAGTTATAATTGACTGAAAATAAGCGGAAACTGTGTCTTATATATAAAAACAATGGAGATAGTGTAGTATAAAAATTCTTCTCGGATAAAAGAAAGGACTACATAATAGAGGAAGAAGTAGAGCAGAAAAAATTTGTTTTTATTCCTAGAGAATCTTACAAGTATCTTAGAAATAGTAAGTAACAAAGAAGAGAGGATTTTTTATTACAACAATTGATTCAATCAATTATAAGTGTTAGTCGTTCAAACACACAGGCGAAGTACCTTTCCCTTTTTTTTTACATATTGTTCTGTTGAAAGGAGAATTGTTGAAGTAGTTATTTCTGGAATCACCAGTCAAACAGTTCTTCTTTTTAAAGAATGGCTACGACACCCACGGATCAAGTTAGTATAAATGTCATGCGTAAATCGGATGGTAAATTCCTTGGCTTTATTTTACCTGAGAAAACGACCATTCACGAGTTGAAAAATGAATTAAAACTACGTTTAACTCCTCAATTTACTCAAGGTTGTCGTTTGATATTTCGTGATCACGTACTGAAAAGTAAAAATACATTGAAACATTATGGTCTCAAAGTGGGTGTTAACCAACAAGACATACTCATGGATGACTCCAAAGATTGGAAATCATCGTCATCATCATCGGAAGAAGAACGATAATAAGAACATTAATTAATACAGAAACTGAGTATTTCTTACTGTATTTTTTTTACATTTTTCTTTACTATACGCGTGTGCTTTTATATATTTTTCATCTCGTACAATTTAGTAAAATGTTACTATTTTGTTGTTTAGTGATGTTTTGCACAATACAGAAACTTTTTTTCTGATATTCTACTTATACTTTAATATTTATGAAATAAAAATTTTCTTTTGCCTAAAAAGAAAACACTGAGATGAACACTGACAAGTTCAGTAAAAGAACTAATGAATTTAGTACAAATGATTAGAGCAAGTATAATAATAATTCATAATCAAATGGCGAGCGAATAAAGCTGCATGTTTCCGTTGGTGGTTTAAAAGAGAGAGTTCAGAAAATTTCGAGTTTTGAAGTTTTCTGTTAGTGTGTTGATAGTCGGGTCAAATTAGTAATGATCTGCTTATGAATCCAGAGGACAACTTAACTTCGGAAGAATCATTTAATAACTGCAAACACTGCCCATGGGGAAATTTTAGCATATAAAACGACGAGTACACCCGTGAATATCCTGAAATGAACTATGGTCGCACGTGAACATCGTAAAATGGTGTGTGGGCACTCGTAAAAAATATATTCAACTTGTGATAACGCATGAACTATTCATGAAAACGTTTAGCGTCATATTTTTCTCACGTGGTCACTAGTGAAAGTCGTAGAATGGTGCGTGAACACACTTGAAAAGAAATTCTTGCTTGTGAACGCGTGTGACAGTATAGAAATTGTATTTTTATTATAGAAACGTGTGAATACACGTGACCACGCATTTGATGTTGCAACTGGACGATCTCAACATCGTAAAACTTCGACAAAATTTCTCCTTGGATGAAGCAATCTTATTCTCTAAGCTGTTTTTTGAATAAGAATGAAAGTTTTTTTGTTGTTCAAAAGGACTCTCATATATGTGGGAAAGAGAGCGGAATCATTGACAAGTAGAATTATACTAGTTCAGTGGTTGAGACCACGTGTGTATTCATCAAAGATAGAGTCAACATGACGTTCAATGATGTGTTTTTGTAAATTCTACTTAAAAATTTTGTCCGTTTCTTTTATCTTTAAATTAATCTTTTCCGATGACTTTATTTTGAGATAGTTCTATCGTATACCGATGATGGCATTACTGATGCAAATAATTCAATAGAAGAGAAGGAAATAAAGTTATTGATACCTCATAAAGTTAGTGATACTACTAAATATATAATATTTCTAAAAGTCCAATGTAATGTCTGGCGTTTATATCAGAATACTCGCTGGTCATAAAACAACTTCGATCGGTCAAGAAGACAAAGATCGATGGTTGGACTGGCACAAGCCTCATAAAAAACGAAATGTGATTGTGTTATTACCATCTGTGACAAAATTTTCAGTGTTGCTCTAATCTCATCTGTAGCGTCTATGATTAAAATACTATAATTACTATAATTAATACCCAATTCAACATCAAATTTAATCAAAATAGCGAATACTTATTCGCTGTATTTGAATGAAAATCCACATTTTATAGATATCTTAACATTCAGTGGTGGACAGCAGTTGTTGATATCTTGCTGCTCTTGCTCAAATATAATTGTAACTTCAATATTCGACTTGTATGAATTTGATTTATCTCGTTTATGAGCAATCAACACTCAATTGGCCATCAATACTTATAGATGAATAATTCTCAATCAGCTGCTCGTGACACACTTTGCCACTTTGCGCACTGCTACATTTACTACGTTATATCAAAAAAGACAGTTTTCTACATTTACACGAAGGGTGTTATGTCATAGAATAAAGAGATGGCACGATGCTAATGGTTCTTGTATAAAATTCACTTTTTTTATAACTCTGCATAATGAAATCAGTTTTTGACTGAGACTGACTTATTCCGAAAATGGTTGAAAAATATCTGTTTCACAAGTCGAGCAGTCAATTTGATTTTGGCTTAACTTTTACATTTTTAGTAGAAAAAGAAAGCATCGATAAGAATAGAAGTAAACTCGTCACTACTGTTACTTAATTACTCACTTAACAAATGCCATATATTAAAAACCTTGTATATATAAACACAAACACATTATGTTGATTTAATGTCACAAAAGTATCCATTCCATCTGTGTTTTCATGTGAAGATATTTATTTTGAAGTTAATATAATTAGTTAAAAGAATATTGAAAAGAGAAATTTTATAAATTAGAAAATAACTAAAGTTGACAATATCTGTGTGATGGTGAAATAAAGGTAAATATACAGATGCTCATATTCTGTAATTCTAAACATTTTAAGACTCTATAAACTATTTGAACTTTAAATATCATGTTTGTAATATAAAATTGTACAATTTATATAGTATAAAATTCGATATGAAACGAGAATGATCACTAAATGAAATAGTATTTTTATACTTTTTGGTCCAGTAGTATTCATTTTTTTTCTTGTAGACAGTATAGTTTGTACTTTTTGAATTATTTTGATAAAATATCTCAAGAGTTTTATTACCATCATCCAATTGCAACCAAGAAATATTTATGTAATTTGGGTAAATATAAATTTATGCAACTTAAAAATCATCAAAAAGTGTTAGAGAATAGTGAATTTTATATATTTCAAATCATTACAATAATTTGAAATTAGTTTAACAAATAGTGTTGTTGTACTAAAGTTTCAATTAACCATTATCTATTAATTTTGTATGTGACTGTCATTCTTTATCAATAATAAAGTATCTTTCATAAAATAAAGTTTAAGGAATGCTTTTTTTTAATTATTTTTAAATTATACAAATATTTCTAGGAAAATTTTTTACAATAGTAAATGTCGTTCATATATTTTCATCAATGGCATAAATCAAGTTACATCCTTGAGAGGAAGAATGACACACATTTAGTGACTCACTAGAGGACTTGTATATATTTAATTTCTTTTTCTTTTTACTTTTTTTCTCTGACTTACTCTTCACTATTTTTTTTTGTATTTCTCCCTTAGTATATACAATAATAGTGTATGTGTGACTATGTGATCTTATATGTCTTATTGCTGTGAAAGTTGCGCAGTTATGACTAACAAACTTAATAAAATAGAGATATTTTAAATTGATTAAAAGGTAAATCACATATTAGTTTAGAATTTTGTATAGAGAGAATTCTATAATGAAGCAAATGTGAAAAAGTATTAACATATTAATATAAAGTGAATGATAACCGTGTGATATGCCTTCTGTAGGATATTGTATTTCCTGATACTTATAGTACTAACACTCTTCTTCATAATGAAGTTTTAAGTACTTTTTATACCTAAAATTTTTTTCTTTATTCCAGTGGTATGCATCGATAACGTTTATGAATTAAATAAATGGAATGGTATATGATACTAGCAATTATTATAATCATTCCTTTGATAATTGTATTGATTATATTAATTGTCTGTTCATTTATTGGTAAACGTTGTAAAATCACATTTGTGAAACGAACGACAAAATCGACAATAACTGTTAAACCATCAGAATCACTAAAACAAGGACGATGTTTATTTCATAAAACGAAACAACCTCCGCCTCCTCCACCACCACTAGAAAAGAAGAAAACTTTTGAACTTTGTATTGGAATAAACAAAGAAGATAATAATTCTAATATACAAGAACAAGAAAAGCCGTTGTTATCGAAAAAAGAATTGGAAAAGCAGCAAAAATTACAAGAAAAAGAAGAAAAAGAGCAACAAAAATTAGAAAAACAAATACAACAAGAAAATGAGGAAAGACTTGCTGATAAGCAAAAACTAATGGAAGAAAGACAACGTATCCGTGATCAATTAAGAATTAAATATAATCTGCCATCGACACCAGAAAAAGTTTAGATTTAATCTGTAAATAAATTTAAAGATTTCATTTCTCCTAAGTGAATGACTGCTGATTATGTTCTTAAGTGATAAGTTTATAGATTCCAAAAAATTACTATACCAATTAGGATGAATATCTAATAATAATATGTCGTGCTCAAAATGATTACATTAATTTTCTATGGATATGATAGAACAACGTTCTTTGCAAGTAAAGGGAATTACAAAATAAAACACCCGAGTCTTCTAATTTTTCTTGAGTTTTAAAAATTGTAAAGGGGTTTTTTATGAGCGCGTCCTTTTTCGTCCTTGTTTTTTCTTATGGACATCTGACAGAGTAGTCTGTTCCGAACTCTCGTTTTTTTGAAAAAGTCCGGATGTTCGGAATGGAAAGTCCGGAAGATAGGGATGGAAAAAAATCAAATGTTCGGAACGATAACCAAAAGAAATCCGGATGTTAGGAATGAAAGTCATCCGGATGCTCAGAATGGCATGAACCAAGGCTTTTTAGCGGTTTTTGTATACAAAAATGTCTGAATGTTCGCAATAGAAAAGCCTAGATGTTCGTAACAAAACACTCTATGTTAAAAAGTAGACACCGAAACTCGTTCCGAACATTCCTCACTTTTTGTTACAAACATCCAATCTTTTTCTGTTCCGAACTTTCGGACATATCTATTACGACCTTCGGATACATCGGTCTTGTATAACTTATGTTTTCGTTACGAACATCCAGAAAAACGATTTTATGCTATATAGACCCGATTCCAAACATCCCGCCACTTGGTCAGACATCCGGAAGATCAAGGACGAAAAAATACAGTCCCGTTTTGTATTCTGTCTCAAAAAAACAACAACACGCATGTTCTACAGATGGCTCATTTTGCCATCAGCGAAGGAATATGGCGAATCTTTTCTAATACGTATACATACATGTATCATGGCTTTAACTGAAATATTATTTTGACAGCAATATAACTGCTATTTTTTACGAAAAAATCTAAGAAAAAGAAAGTTCTATTTTAGCTTTTACATAACGAGATCTTCGAATGTGTCATTTCCATTATTTTTAAAGTTGGTGTTCAAAAGGCTTTGAACAATCATCAAGTGTGAAATAGATTTCTATTACAAAAAGGTAATTAGTTGAGGAATGTAAATAATACATTTTGAACACTAAATGTTTTGCTAATAATGCACACGCTGATACGTCGATAGTATATGGTTATAAACTTGCTTAAGAAAATAAAATTTACTAAAACTAAGATAAAAAGCTTTAACATGAGCATTCACAGTAAAAATTATTTAATAGAAAAATTTACCGATGTATTATTAGAGTTTAGACTAATACTATGGAGCTAAATGTTTTAAGGCTTCATCATTTACACTTATGAAATGTAGAATAAAGCACTCGACTGAGCTCAAGTGTTAGGCGTATATTGATTACATATTCCCTGAAAAAAAGTGTTTTCTCGGAAACGGTCAGAGATTTTTGGAAGTTTAGAAACTAAAATTTAACACTCATTTTCAACGCAGATGAACAAAATCAAAAACGAAGGATTCTCTTAGAACTGTTAAGGATTCAAAATCGAAGAGTATTAAAGAAAAAGTTTTCCGTAAAGGTTCTTCAGAAGCACCAGTTTCCGATAAAACGCTTTTTTTAAGCGAGTAGTGGATAAGATAACTTTACGCTTAGAATTTATCGTTTAATGGTAACAATTTAATGTTACAAATATTCAATTAGTTGTGATATGAATCAGTCAGGAAATGAGAATGCTTGGAAAGGAAGTAGATGTTTTTACAATTTTGTTTATGAAAAATAGAAATATTGTTCGTCTTTTAAATAGAAAAAGCAAATAATATATTTATTATTATGTGTGCCTTGTTAATCTAACAGGAGATCTATAAATAACTGTTCACTATTGTGACCTACAGGGTGATGCATAACCTTTTGCTAGGGGGGTACAGCTTCAACGACAAATGATATAAAAATGAATTACATACCAAATAAAAGCTCATCGAAAACGGGATTAACGGGTATAACTGGTAATCCATAGGTTGATTATAAGCTATAGAATTATGGAAGTTTCTATCTGGA